CGTGGCGCCGGGAGCGGGCGGGCGAGCGGGCGGGAGCGAGCTCAGACAGCGCGTTTCTCCGAGCTGCTCTGGGAGGCGGCAGCAAGTTGGCCAGCCTGGCTGGCGGAGGAGCATCTGCTCAGCGTGCAGGCTCCCCTAGGTCTGGCCTCCGTGTTCCGGCCTCCCGGTCCCCGCCCCTCCCTCGCGTCTGACACCTCGACTGCCGGCTCAGGTGGGAACTTCACCCGCGCCTCTCACCTTGGGAGCTGGGCATCGCGCCCACGTTTCGGGGAGCCGCGGGCTGCCGGGTTCCCCGAGGAAGGCAGACCAGAGCTGGGCGCTCGGTGGGGGCAGGGAGTCGAGACGGTCTTGCCCTCATCAGGATGATACCCAGTTTTGTGGCGAAGCCCCTTGTCCTCCAGGAAGGTGTCTGACCGGATCCTGTGGGGCTTCCAGCGAGCGGGAAGCCTGGGATCACCACTTTTCTGGGAAGTGGAGAGAAGGCTTCCCCAACTGCCAGGCAGCCAAGTTGGAAAGGAGTGAAGGAAGGAGAAGTAGGGGCTGGGGGTTCTGTGGGGAGTGGTGGATCACCACTGAAACTTGATCTGGAAACTCTGGATGGGACTAGAAACAACAACAAAAACATATTCTGAACTGGGCGGACGAGTGTGCAACTCAGTGCCCCTTTCGTGTTTTACAACCCGTGTGAAAGGACTTCAAATATTTTAGGTTGAAGTGGGTTATGTCTAGTCTTTGCTGAGCATCTTACTATGCAGTCTGGTTCCATTCTTACTGCTTCACCTTTAAGATAGTTGTAAAGGTAACTTGTTAATTGTTATTGTGGAGAAAGGATAACTGTGTAAAACACAGCAGATACATTTGTTTTCTGAGGTCATTATAATTCCAGGCTAAAGAAAAGTTTCCAGGTAGTTTTGAGTGGGTGAAATGGAATGAAAGTGCAAGAACTGTCCTTGCACTTTTTACAGGGCTCCAGGCATCTGGGATGCCTGGGAGCAGGGCTCTCTCTTCATCATACTTTATTTCTTATCTTCTGACAATGTATTTGTCAAACATTTGTTGACTCTGGCAGAATGCACTGGGTGGTCTTTTAACTAGAAATAGAAATATGTTCAGGCATTACTTCTCCCTTCTGTTGTGAAATGGAAAAAGAGAGAGAGACAGAGAGAGAGACAGAGAGAGAGAGAGAGAGAGAGAGAGAGAGAGAGAGAGAGAGAGAGAGAGAGAGAAAGGTGGACCTTTTTGGCCAGCTTGGGATAGTACCCCCAAAAGTGGTGTTACAATTTAACAGAATTGACATGATTTCCTTAGTGCTAAAAATATGATGCATACCCCCTCTCTCCATCTCATACCTGCTTGGAAGAAGCATTTGTAATTTTTCCTAGTATAGTAGGAATAGAGTTTATATTAGGAGTAGCTGTACAATTATAATTCATTATAAATTTTAATATTTCAATTAAAACCTAAGTTTTTATAAATACACCAGTACTCTTACTTCATGCATTCCTTGAATTCACTTGCAATTATCTAAAACTTCTAGCTTAATATTTGAAATTCTTGTATGAGCCTAGAAAGTTTCGATTTGTGATTCTAAATGCAGAGCAAATATTTAATTCTTGATCTAAGAGTGAGAGGTTAGTTCAGTAATAAGACTTGCTAATCCCACTTTAAAATGTCATGGCATTCACAAATTATTCCTAAATTCTTCAAAGATATGGGATTTATAATGAGTTTAGTCATTCTATTGTGTATTTCAGGATTGTGGTATCTCTCTTCCTGTTGCATTTTTTTCTTGGCAATCTTGCCTCTTTTTTTTCCTTACATGAATTTTAATATTTCTCTTATTCAGAGGTACTATTTTTTCTAGTAGTAAATATATTTTATTTTAGAAAACTTAAATATATATGCATATATTATTAGGGAAAATTGTTTCTTTGAATGAGACAAATATGTATGTACCTACACTGCACAGTTTTATGGGAAAATGTGATTTTACAAAAACTATTCCAGTGTTTATGTATTTGTAAAACTATGAGTATCCTATGCCAGTAGGTTAAGGTTATTAACCTATAGAAAGAGAATATCGACTCTAATAAAGATTGCTTCATTATTTGAAATAAAGCAGATAGATTTTTAATAGAATTGTGACTAGTTATTTTTCCAAATGGAATCGTTTTGTATAACTGTTTATTTTCTAGAAAGAAAGGTTTTAGGTGAAGCATAGAGGCTTTTCTTACTAAAATCTTGTAGGCGTGTCATCAGTCTTTTGGTTGGAAAAGGAACCTGCTTTATTAGGAGGAAGACAAAGAAAGATAAGAAAGCTTATCTCTGAATGGAAGAGAGCTTCTAAATAGAGCAAAAAGTTTTAAATTTATTCAGGAAAAAAAAACTAGCTAAACAATAATGATCCAGTTAGTAAGTTCAAGCTTAGCTTTCTTAGCTTTGCTTCTGAGAGCTCAGAGTGATTATTCTCTTTGTAAAAAGTCAAGCAAATAAGAAACCAGGAACAAGTGGATGGCTATCACTGTGAGTAGAATGATTGTCAGAAACCCTGAATCAGTGTTCGGCTGGATGTACAAAAAATGATGTTTTTGCAGCAGTTGTGAAAGTATGTTTGGATGAAGTTGATCCTATTTACAATTATATCTCCAGAAATATGTCCACAGTGTAATCTTAGTCAAAAATAAAAGTGCCATAAAGCTAACTTTATTAGTTTATTAATATTGATTATTTTGACAAATACATATACCTTTTTTCATTAAACTTTATTTTACCCTTTAAAAATTTGATTTCTGGATGGCAACAGAATGTCATCCAGGTATTATTTTTATATGAATCAGTGTATTCAGCAGCAGTAATGAATTGTCTGCCCTTTTCTTGAAGCTATGCTGTAGAGACCTGTTAAGCATGTTCAATTATATATTGCCTTTTATCCAATATTTTATTTGTTAGTCAAATGTCCATTTTGACTTTCAGGACATACTTCCTTTATGTTGGTTGAGAGTGTAAACTAAGAATATAATATTTTGCTGCCAAACTTTTTCTCTGATCTGTTCTTTTGTATTTTTTAGTTGAAATCTGTGTCCATGTTTATCTCATAAAGTGGGACGATTGTCCAGAGAAGAATTTAACACATACATTCAGAATGAAGAAATATACTGAAAAGCTAGCACAATAATACAATGTTATTTACACATTTCAACAAGTGAGTTTTAAAAATTATTTCATGTAAACTTCTTTTAGGTCACATTTAAAACCTAATTTTGGAGATATTAGTTGTTTTAAGAGTCCTGATAAGAAATTTTGTGCTTTAAGAAAAAATGTCTTAGTCTGAAAACTGATTAATTGTTGTGTCTTATAAAACCTGATTTATTTTATACTTTTTTATACCAAGCATTACCATTATGAAGCTCTCCTTCTAATTGAGATTAATGTTTCTGAGCAAAGAAGTGGTTTGGAGGGCTGCATTCATTTTGAGTGCTGTTGTAATCAATTTTAGATACAGCATTCCACAATGGATCAGTTTGCATCCAAACCTGCCTTATTATGTAGAATTAACTTGTTGGTGATTGATAGTAATACTTCTCCATCTTGAAAAGTCATTTGTTTTCAAACAAGTGTGATGGCTTGTATGAGTTACAAAATATTGCTTCTTATAATTAAAACATCCTTTTGAGGACCTAATTTGAACTTTTTGTAAGAATTATGTGAAGCATGTGGAAACAATTCATTAATGTATTTTCAACTAAAATAGCCTTTTCCCCTAGATACAGTTTGCCTCAAGGTATAGTTTCTTGCCCATCAAAGGGATTTTATAACTTTTTGAGTCATAAATGGTAATTATAATGCATCTAGATTATTTCCTTTTTTGTTTACTTCAAGATTCTGGTGAATGTGTCAAAGATTTCTTAGAATATAATTGTACATCTTGTGCATGTGTTACAACTTTATTTCATTAGATAGTAGGCATAATCCTGGCAATGAAAGGTAATGCATATGGAAATATGGGGAATATTTTTGTACCTACTGTGATGTTTGCATTCGTTTCTTATTTGTATCCAGTCAGAGTCAGCTTAATTAGTTCATTTCTTCTGAAAGATCACATTAAGATTTTCTTGGTCTTTGATCCATATTGCATTCTTTATTGTAGTTTCAATACATTATACTTATAGTTTCTATAAAATAAAATATTAAAGGCATAGAAAATAAGATGATTATAGATATT